TTATAGATCTGTTTACTGTTGTATCATGTCGAAATTTGGAAAGTAGACTTGAGACTTCTAAGGCATTAAGTTCAACAATTGGATTGATAATTGGACATATGTGTTGAGAATAATGTATTTTGCATTAGATCTATTTTTCTAAGTCCTTTAATAATAGAATATAGGTTGTAAATTGTGGGTTTTCTATCTAGATATATATTCTTACTCTGAACTTTGGAAAAAAAACTCCAGCATGTTTTATTTGCACTTAACTTATGATCTAAGTGAAAGTGCATTATCTTCTTATCTCTCTCTGAATTCTTTTTTCGTTTTTTTTATTTTGTATCAATTGGTATCAAAACCAAATTCCCACTTTTTTTTTGGTCTCGCATAAGCCTTCCAAAATCAACTCTTTTTAACCTTTCCTGTCCTGCATCAATTGATATGAAAACTAGGTTCTCATATCTCGCCTCTCTTCTAGTCTCTTATAAGCCCTTTAAATTAGCCCAAAAAATCTCCATAGCGTTCCAAAGCTTCAAGGTCGATTTAGTATTTCACATTACTTTCAGATGCATGGTTTTTGCCATTACAGGTTTCCCTGGAGTATGGAAGCCTTTTGCATACAGTTTATAACTTTATGTTCCTAAAGTTAATTGGTGAAGTACTTGCATCCTAAATTTTAAATTTTGTGCTTTTGAATATTACAGGGGTAATTTTTTGTTTCCTGGTTATTTTCTACCCTTGATCTTCAATCTTCATTATTCACTTTCCTAATGTTTTGTTGCATTTTTACTTCCCATAATCCTTTATAAAAAAACAAAATGATTTCCTATCTTATTTTTATTTTATTTCTTTACCTTTCTTAATTTCCTATTTTCATTTTTGACTTTCTTAAATCCTTCATTTTCTTTATTCATATTTCTCCCGGTTTAGCACTTTATAAAAAGGCAAAAAAATGCATGCTAGAGTTTCATGTTAATTCACATTCGCAAGAAACTTGATCCTAATGCTTTATCTACTTGAATTACCTCCTCACATGTCAAATATCTTAGTTTTTAATATTGAGAATCTTGTTTCTTATCCAGGTACTTTTGAGCCACTCCCATTATTTAGTGATGATCTTGCACATTCCTAACAACACAGTGCTCTAATTTCATGATTACTGGCCATCCACCAACTAAGGAGATTATCGATACTTTCACGGATGAATAGACTGTTCTCAACTCCAAGGGTCCTATTCGCCGCTATCTTGTTTGATGGAAAGATTACTCTGGTACTGATACCACTTGGATTGCTGAAAACGAATTTTGCTAGATCAATTCCATCTTGCTTGACTTTTATTAGCTCACTATATCTCTAAAGGACAGACAACCAGAATAGCAACTAACTTCCTGTATGTTGGTAGCAACCAACACTATCCACAAGAAGAATCATCCAAGTACAAAGTTAGCTTTAAATTCTTAGCACGGATACCTTCATTTCCATGAACACGTCCTCACTGTTATGCTTAACTTCCCTATCCACCTTTGTTCTGCATATTCACTATTTTTTCTCTTTTCTTTTTTGTCTCTCTTTTAACTTTTATTTTTCTATGCCTTTTCTCTTCCTCATTATGCCTCTTTCTTTCTTATGACTTCTCAACCTTTTTTTCCCCCCATCATCATGCCTTTTCCTTGTTTTTGTTTTCTCTTGTTTTCCCTTTTTTCCCTTCTTGTGTTTTTTCCTTTACAACATAACTTAAATTCACATTCTATATCCCTTAACAATGAGATGCATTCATGGTACATAGGCCACTAGAACATTGGATAAGTAACAACTCAGCTACTCAGAATATGTTCGATAGGACAACTAGAATAGCAATTAACGTCAAAGAACTGTCGTATAATGATAGTTATGAGCAAATTCCCCCAGGCGTACTAAAGCATCTAATTCAGGGTTTGACCATGGTCTGTTTGGAGCCGCCAGCATGGGATTCTCCTTAGGAACCTCTTGCTCTAGCAGTGGGGGTTCTCATAAGGGTTCAGAAGGTTCTGCTGGGGTAGAATGGGGTTCTACTCCGATAAAATAGGGTTTTGCTCGGGTTGTGTTCATAATTGTATCCTTGCATTTATATATATGCATGCCCCTATAATTCTATTTAAATTTTAAAAATAAATTTTATTGTAGGGACTTCGATATTAATCATGGAACTAATTAACATATTATAACCAGGGAACTAATAATTATAACTGAGAAAATATTTTTTTTTGTTTTGTTTATTTTTTTCCTTGGCCTAGTGCAGTTTTAAAAATGGCGCAATAGTATTTTGTGGCTGCTCACGAGGATGGAAATGACTTTGTTTCGAGCATCCGACCGGCAGCAGATAAATAAGGAGGGAAGCTGAACGCTAAGATTTAATTTATATTATTCTAATACTACCTCCAGTCTTTAATATAAGAACTAGTTAACTAATTTGAGTAGATTAAAAAAATTATTTATGTTAGTTATTTGTAATAAATAGGTATTATTTTTTCTAAAATATCTTCGCTAATCAAATATATTGAATAGAACTAATATTATTATAAGGACTATCTTCAGAAAAAAATGGATCAATATGATGAACAGAATAGATTGGAGTCTTATATTTAGGATCAAAATAAAAGTCAAACAAACTCTTATATTAAAGATCGGAAGTAATTTTTTCTAAAATATCTTTGTTAATCAAATGTATTGGATAGAACTAGTATTATTATAAGAATTGAGAAAAAAATGGATCAATATAATGAACAGAATAAATTGAAGTTTTATATTTAGGATCAAAATAAAAATCAAACAAACTCTTATATTAAAGACTGGAAGTAATATAGTTTATGGTTTAAAATAGTAAAAATATTATCCCTAAAAGTTATAGAATCTTCAGGCTGGGATGAAAAACGTTATTTGCTTTTTAGTTAAATATTTTAAACAAGAAAAATACTTAGATGAAGTTCTATACATTCATTTTGTCAAATTCTGCAATCATACAAGATAATGCATCTTATTTTTTATATGAGTTTATAATTAAATTATTAATATTTTTAAAATAGAAGATATAGTTATATATTTTTGTATTATTAATTTTTTTTCGTAGCACTTTCTTTAAGAAATGTTACAGAATATTATTAATTTTTTAATATATATATATATATGTGTGTGTGTGTGTAAAAGAGCTCTATAACTTGGTCTTCATGCCTTCTATAATAGATGTAAATGTAACTTCAAAGCTTACTTTTTATCTAGCAGTAAAAAAGTATATTTGAAAGGAAAAAAAAAGGATAGAGAAAAAATAGTAAATAAGGATGAATATGTTACATGAATCTCAATTTTAATTATATGCCTTTTCATGAACTTTCTAGGAATATAATTGTATGCATGAACTTGAGAGGATTGACCTTTTTGAGGGCGGGAATATTAAGGCTCGCCCTCTGGCTTCTGAGCACTATAAGGGACAATCTCATTTATTACCAACCTGTTTTTAGTATGGTCACAAGCAAGTTAGTTCAAAGAAAAATCAGAGCATTTACCAAGGAAAAAAATTACAAATGGTAACCAGATACTTTTTTTAAAAAAATCCAAATGCATATAACAAATTATCAAAGAGCAGATACTAACAGTTTGGGATTAGAAGTGGAACAGAATTCACGAATATTAACTTCTTAATGCAATTTTTTATTTTTTATTTTTAACCAAATGCAACTTTTGAGTTTGAAGTTTCAATAATCAACAGATTGATTTTTTTTATATAAAAAATGGTAGAAATAAATAGAAAAATTAGGTAGAACTAGTGGGCACCTTATATGGTAATGGAATTAATGTTCAAATTCAACCCTCACCACACTGTGGCCTGCTTTGAATATACTTTCTCCTTAATCAAAGCTGCCAGCTCACACATACTACGCGAATTTGGATTCTTTATCCTAGGTCGCTTTTCATACTTTTGTTGATGCCCAATCTCATCCGGCCATTTAATTGTTCATTTGACCCACAAAGCCGGACACAATTGATAGATGACTGGATGTTTTAAACATAATGTCATGGGTCCGAATTAAGCCATGCCCATGAAAAAGACTTTATTGGGAAAGGCAAAACCCACTTCAGTGATCTCTACATCTTAAGAGAATTAGTCTCTAACTGTCAGTTAGGGGATACTACATGTTCCAGGAAAAAAAAAATGTTGTTTGTTTGTTTTAACTGTAGATAAGAATGTTAATTGGAGCATTAAGCTGAATATCTCATTCATTTAAGTATCATCATAAAGCACAAATGTTGTTTTTAAAATTATTTAAGTAATGGCATATACCACTTTCATCCTTGATATAAGTCACTTATAGCACATTCTCACATACCAAGAAATATATTAATTTGACTAAATTTTTTAATTTTTTTCCCTATTAAAGTTTTGTCTCTTTATATATACATTTACAAATCATTTTAATATATCTCTTAGTCTCTTTATAAATATTTACAAATCATTTTCATATATCTCTGTCTTCTTTTTCTCTTTTTAATAAAAATTAAATAAGAATAAACAAGCATTAAATATATTACAAAGAACTTGCATTTAAATATATATGAGTAAGTAGCAAATAATTATATTCCGTATATTAAAATATTGGTTAAAACTAGTTAAAACCAATAAATAAGTAAAAAAAAAAGTGACTTTTTTTTTTTCAAATACGCCTTCATTTATAAAGATGAGTGAGAAAAAGAATAAATAGAAAAAAATACATTAAAATTTTAGACAAATACAAATGTTATGCTTATATGTGAGAGAATATTACTTTTATGTGTGTGTGACCTGATCTCTGAAAATCCAAAGCCCTTAGTTCTCCAATTTAATATGCTTAATTACACTGACATAATATATCTCTTTACGCGCATTTCCTTACATGACCACAATGCTCTCTCCTTCATCTACCTGCTTTTGCTAATTTGTCATCTGAAATTAATATCAAATCTTCTTCTTTTTCTTGGGCATGTCACTGATCTCCTTCTAAGCCAATATGGAACCCTACCACCCAACTTCTAAACCCTCCAAACCCCATTTCTTCTCTCGCAGACTCAACCTTTACTCTCTTGTCGCCTTCCTCTGCATCGTCTCTTACCTCGTCGGAGCCTATCAACCAGGCGGCTTGCTTACCACTTCCGCCGCTGCCGCCGCCACTACCATCGCTGCCCTCAGACGTACTCCATGTTATCCCAAGCCCAATACCCTCAACTTCCATTCCCTCCACAATGCCTCACTTCCGACATCGGAACCAGCCAAGCACTACCCTCGCTGCGGCGTCGAGTACAGCGAGTACACGCCGTGCGAGGATCGCGATAGGTCGTTGAAGTACTCGAGGAGCAGGGTGATTTACAGAGAGAGGCATTGCCCGGAGAAGAAGGAGTTGCTTAAGTGTCGTATTCCCGCGCCGTTTGGGTATAAGATTCCGTTTCCGTGGCCGGAGAGCCGTGACGTGGTTTGGTACGCTAATGTGCCTCACAGGGAGCTGACGGTGGAGAAGGCGGTGCAGAATTGGGTCCGGTACGAGGGTGATCGGTTTAGGTTCCCTGGGGGAGGGACCATGTTTCCTAATGGTGCGGACGCGTACATTGATGATATCGGGAAGTTGATCGATCTCCGAGATGGCTCCATCAGAACCGCCCTGGACACTGGTTGTGGGGTATGCTTTCCCTGTCGTTTTCTTCATTTCATAATATTCCAAACAACCACGAATTAAAAACCACTTTACTGTGGTTTTTTCCCTCAAATAAATAAGTAGAAAATATTTTTGAAATGAAATTTGCTCTGGCACTTAAAATTCAAATTGGGATTCGGGACAGCAATGTGCAAGATTAATTTATATATTTTCTATTGTAATTTAATTGATTATAAATTTTTTTATTTAATATACTCTATAAAATTTAATTAAAAATTGCACTGTGTATAAGAGTGCGACTCACCTCAGTGCAAAACAAATTAAATATTAGTCCCGGGTTTAGTACATGTTTTGATTAATAAGAAAACATTATAAATACTATTACTCCTCTTACTCTAAATATAAGACTCATTTTGTTATGTAAATTACACTATATAATATGTCTTATATTTAAGACATGCAGAGTATTTATCTGTCATGATATCTCACATATTATCAGAATTGCCACCTCTTTCGTTGGCCGGTCCTGCCTAAAATGTTTTTTCAGAAAATTCTTTTTTGATTTTCTAGTCTGAGGTGGCAAGCTAAAATGGGTATCTGCATTTAGCCAAAAACTGGATTGAATAATTGAATATATATTAAAAAAAAAGAAATAAGTAAATTTAAAAGACAAAAGCATTAATTTTATCCACTTTAATTTTATTTTGTTTTCTGGTTTTTGTGAAATTTATTTCTTGACAACAGAAATAAATTTTTAGTTATACCCTCTCTGCTTTTACCCAAATCAGTATTCATAACAAATAAATAAATAAGGTTTACTTACACAATGATACATTGAATAGTCTGACCAGATCCCAAATTTAGATGGGATTGAGGAGATTGTGAAGCTTTGATCACAGCAAAGCCGTACTTTTGGTTAGATGAATGTCCTTTCTTTCTCCTATGAAGAATTTGTCTGAATAGTAATTACAGATCCACGAATCTACTTAATAGCTATACGCGAATTAATTATCAATAATATAAATGCTCATTCTTTAATTGTGCCAAAATTAAATATATAAGAAAAATTTGAGACGAGCTCCAGTAACCAGAACCCAACTCACCTAAACTTTAATGAAAATAAATATGAATTTTAATAGCAGTGGCATGACCAACAGGTGTTAGTTACAGTAAAAGAAATTTTGGTCATTTAAGTACGTGCTCTCAAGTTTGAACCTGTGTAAATGAAAAAAAAAAAAAAAAATCTTTTGGAGATTTTTAATATATGCTCAAATCTGACTAATCAGATGACTTTATAAGAAAGAGATAATAGTGGCATGTATGTGCATATATTTAAAACTTTGGGGGGAAATGCAGGTAGCGAGTTGGGGAGCGTATTTGATGTCTCGAGGGATAATAACAGTGTCCATAGCCCCAAGAGACACGCACGAGGCACAAGTTCAGTTCGCTCTTGAACGAGGAGTCCCTGCTCTCATAGGAGTCTTGGCCTCCAAGAGGCTCCCTTTCCCTTCTAGGGCTTTCGACATTGCTCACTGCTCTCGCTGCCTCGTCCCCTGGGCCCACTACGGTACGTCATGAATCCTATGACTCATACTCCCAAAGTTCTACATAAAATGAGAGACATTCTGATGTACTATTCATGTATATATAGATGGGATGTATTTGAATGAAGTGGATCGGGTTCTGCGACCCGGTGGATATTGGATCCTGTCGGGTCCACCCATAAACTGGAGGAGTCACTGGAAAGGGTGGGAGAGAACAAAGGAGGATCTGAAGGAAGAGCAGAAGAGTATTGAGAGGGTAGCGATAAGCCTGTGTTGGAAGAAGGTGGTGGAGAAGGGTGATATCGCCATTTGGCAAAAGCCTATCAACCATTTTCACTGCAAACCCATTCATCGTTCTTTCTGTCCCTCTAACAATCCCATTCCTGACCTCGCCTGGTACGCAACTCCTCCTTTATTCTGTGCACAGTTTTTTTTTTTTTTTGAAGGTTTTGAAACAATAACCTTAATGAGATGGGGTTAACTAGATGAATCACACGTTACCAATATATCATATTAACGATCAAATCTTTATATATTGTTAGTTAAAACATCTTGTTCAATAATTTCATTGAATATTTTCTTCATTCTTCCTATCCTTATTTTCAAAGGATTCCATACTATTTGATATATCCTTCCCATTGGTATCTAATTCAACAGTTGTATTTAAATGTGTCACTTTGTTTTTATCTATAAGTTACTTGTATCCCAAGCCCGCAAATAAAGAAATATATTAAATTAATAATTTTTTCACATTTGTCCTTATTAAAGAAGGTATCAAAAATATTTTTTGTATTTTCTATCACTAATTTACTTTATTTCTCTCTGTATTTATTAATTCAACAAGAGTAACATTAGAAAAAGCTCATTAATTATCCTAAAAATTATTTATATTTAGAAATAATTTTTTTTCTAGAAGTGACTTATAAATAGAGATATTTAAAAATGTTCGAACCCCCTCAAATAATTTTCTATCATATTCTTATGCCATGACAACTCTTTGCATATATATGTTCATTACGCTAATGAATCTTCTTTTCTCTTATATCACCACACATCGACTCAACACCACTACCTCAACTTTATACTCTCTGTCCCTTTAAATCCCAACATTTATTACCATATAGTATTGCTAATCTTATTGCAGTTCCAGTAACACTTACCTTTAAAATTATTCTAGGTACTTTCCCATCATAAATAATTCTGGAAGCCTTTTTATTTCCATTTGAATCATCCAACTTGTTATATATCATATGCGTGACATCTCCATCAATATCACCGTCTTTTTGTGTATCATTGACCCACAAATATTTGAATGATTTTTTCACTTGTGAAATGATTTGGTGTCCCATAATTCAGGTACACAGACATGGAAACTTGTTTGAGTCGTCTGCCGGAGGTAAGGAAGAAGGAGGAGACAGCAGGTGGCGTATTGAAGAAGTGGCCTGAAAGATTAAGTAATGTTCCTCCAAGGATTTATAAGGGAACAATAGAAGGAATCAGTGCAGAGACATTCAAGGAAGATTCTGAAGTGTGGAAGAAACGAGTTTCTTATTACAAGCAAGTGAACACTGAGATTGGTAAATCCAGATATCGTAACTTCCTAGACATGAACGCTTATCTTGGTGGCTTCGCAGCTGCTTTAAGTAAAGATCCCGTTTGGGTCATGAACGTGGTTCCTCCTCAGGCTCAGGTTAACACACTTGGCGCCATATTTGAAAGAGGATTGATCGGAACCTATCATGATTGGTTAGCTTCAATCAACTCTCTCTCTCTCTCTCTCTCTCTCTCTCTCTCTCTGTGTTTTTTAAAGGATAAAGATACATCCCACACTCTAATTTTATTTTTCAGGTATCTTGATCCTTTTTATGATGCATCCAACATCCTAATATTATTTTTTGGAGTGTCTAGCACCTGGATGTTATTTTTTTAGTTGCATGAATACCTAAAGATTAGGTTGCTGGATGTACTAAAAATAAGATTAGAGTACTGAATGCATGAAAAAAATAAGATCAAAATGCTGGATGCACTACATAAAATATTGGGGTGCTCAATGCACTTGGAAAATATGCTCAAGATGCTGAATCCATCTTAACCTGTTTTTTAATGTAGCTTGTGAATTTTCAATCCAATATTGTGATTGTTGGTTGCAATTATAAATCCAAATCTTGTAAGCTCATGGCCTTTGAATCTTGTTTGTTTGCAGGTGTGAAGCAATGTCTACTTATCCTAGAACTTATGATCTTATTCATGCTGATTCTGTATTTGGTCTTTACGAGAACAGGTGTGTGTATGTGTGTGTGAGTGTATTGTTTTACTCTTGTTCCTTTGAAATTAAACTCAGAAATTGTGATTCATGAAGAGTGAATTGAGATTGCATTTGGGTTTGAATTATTACCTGTAGATGTGAGATGGAGGATATTTTGCTAGAAATGGATAGGATTCTGAGACCAGAAGGAAGTGTAATTATCAGAGACGATGTGGATATTATAGTAAAAGTGCAGAAACTGGTAGAAGGAATGGAGTGGGAGAGTCAAATTGTTGACCATGAAGATGGGCCTCTTCAACGCCAGAAACTTCTGTTTGTCGTCAAGAAATATTGGACTGCTCCCCTACCTTCATCTATTTCTAAGAGATGATCATCAAGTGTCTTTGAATTTTTATTCTGCTTTAATTCGATTAATTTCTGTTCCTTATTTTTGGTGACAGATATTATACCAATTACTACAAGAAAGAATTAAAGAATTAATATGCAATCCCTATAATTTCACATATTTTTTAATGAGTTTCTTATAGTAGTTTTATTTTTTACTTTTTATTAAATTTTTGTAGCTTTCTCAAGGCTAAAGCATACGTTTATCCTTTAATTATGTACTATCTCCAGTCCTTAATATAAGAGCTAGTAGACTAATTTGAGTAAATTAAGAAAATTAGTTAAATTAGTTATTTATAATAAATATGTGTTATTTTCCTTAAAATACCCTTACTAATCAGGTGTCATGTGATGAAACATTTAGCATATGTAATTATTACAAAGACTACCTTAAAAAAATAGATAAATGAGAGACAAAATAGATTGGATTCTTATATTTAAGACCAAATTGAAAGTCAAACTAACTCTTATATTAAGAATAGAAGGTAGTATCAAGTTTCATTTTAATTCCTTAATTTATAAAGTGTATTATTAGTCATTTAATCTTAACATCATTAGTTTCATTTGTGAAGTATAGATTAACATTTATGTTATTTAAAACAATTCTGTTATATGTACATGGTTGCTACGTATACTTTCATATAATCCTCTTGTGTATATATGACTTTTCTATTAATGAAATGCAAGTTAATTCATTTTCTCCCAATTAGTCACATGGTATCAGACCCTAAGCCTTCCCGATTTTTTTCATATCTACATGACTACCATTGTGCCCTCATCTTTGCTACTGAACAATCATCAACAAAAAGTAATCCTAGGTATTCATTTTCTTCTGTTCTTTCATATTCCTCTCTTTCTCTTGTATATAAAAATTTTGTTCTTGCTGTCTCTACTATTTCTAATCCCAAAAACTTATCATCAAGTCGTAAAACATTTAGTTTGGAGAGATGCCATGACTGCAGAAATTAATGCTTTTGAACAAAACCACACTTGGGTTCTCACATCTCTCCCACCTAGCAAAAAGACCATAGGTTGTAAATGGGTCTTCAAAACAAAATTAAAAACAAATGGTGAAATTGATAAATACAATGCTAGATTAGTAGCAAAAAGTTACACCCAAACTAAGAGTCTGATTATTTTGATACATATTCTCCTGTTGCAGAAATGACCACCCTGCAGCTGTTACTATCTATTGCTGCTGCACAAAATTGGCATTTTCATCAACTTGATATCAACAATGCTTTTTTACATAGGGACCTTTATGAAAAGGTTTACATGGACCTACTGAAAGGTTTTTCTGCTACTAAACCTAATCTAGTTTGCAAATTACAAAAATCCTTTTATGGGCTTAAGCAAGCAAGTCAACAGTGGTACTTAAAACTTTCTTATGCTCTAGTCTCATATGGATACACTCAATCTGCTTTTGACCACTCTTTTTTTTTTTTTTTTTCAAAAGCTGTATCTACTTCATTCATTGTTATTCTTGTATATGTTGATGATCTTGTCCTTGTCAATAATGATATGGCTGAGATTAATCATATTAAACAGCAGCTAGACCAAGCCTTCAACATTAAGGATCTTGGAGACCTTCGCTAATTCTTAGGCCTTGAAGTTGCTAGAACAAAAGATGGTATTTTCCTTTCACGGCACAAATTTGCCCTTGAGTTACTTGATGAGGCTACAGGTTACTTAGCCTGTAAACCTGCCACTACTCTAAAGATAAAGGAGTGTTACTTGATGATCCTAAATCCTACAAACAGCTTATTAGCAGACTCCAGTACCTTACTACTACTCGGCCAAACCTGAGTTTTGTTACTCAACAGCTCAGTCAGTTTATGTCAGCACCTAGGGATACACATTTGTAAGCTGCTCATAGGGGTCTTGAGATATATTAAGTCTTCTCTAGGTGCTGGGCTATTTCTCTCCTCTAATTCTAATCTCAGACTCAAAGCTTTTAGCAACTCTGATTGGGCAAGCTATGTTGATAGCCATCGATATGTAATCGGCTATGCCATCTTCCTTGGTTCTTTCCTCATCTCTTGGAAAGTAAAGGAGCAATCAATTGTTTCTTGTTGTTCCTCAGAGGCCGAGTATCGTGCTATGGCATCTACCACATGTGAAGTTCAACGGCTTCTATATTTGTTAAATGATTTTAGCATATCTCATTTTGATCCTACCTTTCTCTATTGTGACAACCAGTCTGCCTTACAAATTGTTGCTAATCCTACTTATCATCAGAGAACCAAGCACATTAAATTTGACTGCCATATTGTTCTTGAGAAGCTTCAAGCCAAAATCATTCATCTTCTGTCAGTACGTTCTGCAGACCAGCTTGATGATGTCTTCATCAAACCCCTTCATCCCACATGTTTCCATGATCTCATTTCCAAGCTTGGCATGAAAAATATCCATGCTCAAGCTTGCAGGGGGTGTGAAGTATAGATTAATATTTCTGTTGTTTAAAACTAATTCTATTATATGTATACAGGATTGCTATGTATACTTTCAGATAAGCCTCTTGCGTATATATGAAATGCAAGTCAATTCATTTTCTCCTAATTAGTCACATCATTTAATAGAAAATAATGCTGACTCATCAAATTTAAGTGATGAATCTAAAATAAAATGCTAGCAAAGCATACTGATAAAACCCAATTTTTATACATGTTATCCCACATTAATTTAGGATTTAAATGACAATTTTTACCTTAATTAGATTTTTATGAATTATTGGATTAATTGGTTGAATTTTGGATTTTTCATAAAGATTGAGATTTTGGATTAAAAATATAAATATTTTGTGATTTCCTATTTTTTTACTTGAAATTAATTTTTCCTATTTCTTTGGAAACAAGTCTCATATTTTTTAGAAAGATTATTTTTAGAAAGTTTTGCAATTTCCTGCCTAATTTTTGTGCATATCTAATATTTAATTTTGATGCACTTAAATCCTTGTAGGTTAAGAAAGGGTATATAGGAAATCTAGTGATGCAAGATTATTTCTTAGAATTTAAACACAATCCAATGGCTAATATCAAGTGGGTCAATTAATTACTAATAGGTTTGAGCTTTGGATCCACAAAAAATTTCCCTTTTTCCATTAAATAATCCCTCCAAGCACTCCTTTTCTGAGATCCCATAGTCATTGATCACGCTCACGCCTCTTGGTCAAAAGAATTATTCACTTCTCCATTCCTGCGCAGTGTCACATACTCCCCTCATTCACGTCATGTAGCTCATCTTGAATTGAATTATTGTTTTCCCCTCACATTCGTCTCTCCCCCTGCGCAAGGATCCACTTACTATCCACGTCGTCATCATCTTTCATTCTCTATTCTTCATGGCCGTGGCTTTTGACAACCTTGAAGTAGGAAGGATAATTTTCATTGCAGCTTAAGCTTGCTAGGAAGACAACTTGGGAGGAGCATGAATGAGGTTTGAATTTTGGGCTAACACTTGAAGACCATAAGAGAGTAATGTTCCATTTATCTTTTTAATTCAAGAACTTTATTTAGTTTTAAATAATTTTAAGTTGGAATTTTGTGAGACAATTTAGTCTCGATTGTCATCTTTATTCTTAGATTAGATTGATATTTGAATTTTATTTTTGCTAAGACACTTGCTGGAATTTATATTTATGACCTTTGCATTGTTAATTGAATTTATAATTGAGTTTTCATTATAGATTTAATTATCAATATGGTTTGAATTGCAAAATTTGGCTTCTTTTACCTCTTAATTGTTTAATTGAGTTGATAAACTATCTAGTTGTTTAATTGGATAAGCCCAAGTATAATTTCTAGAATTAATTTAAATTATTTGTCATTGGTTTTAATGCGTTTAATTAACCAACCTTATATCATTATGAGTTCTCTAACGGTTTAAAGGTTTTTGGAATTGAGGGTTCTCTTTGTTTCAAGTAGGTGATTAAATTTATTAATTCCACTCTCTTATCACTTTCCTTTGGTTTAATTAACTTATTAAGGTTATGAAGGTTAAATCTATGTGAATTCTAAGTTGTTTCCTTTACCGTACTTGAAGAGAAACTTCTCAATTTTACTTGTTAATTTTCTTTGCTTTCTAGTTAATTTTCTTTATTTATCATTTTAATTTTTCCCTCTAAAAAAATCCCTCCAAAAAAATTGCCTTTGCACTCATTTAGTTTAATTTAATTTTCACATAAATTTTAGGACATTTACATTTTGCATTTAAAATTAGAATTTTACGTTTTAGTTTAGGTCCATTTTGTTGCATTTTTTATCACCTAAATTTTTACCTAAAGAAACCCATAATTGCTCTTTGGAAGTAATGACTTAGGTCGATCCTAAACTACAAATTAATTAGGATCTAGTTTAATTGAGTGATTTAATGACAGAGGCATCATCACATACTCATATTTTAATATTTTAAATAATATATCTTTATATTTTAAGTCATGTAAATTAAAAAAAAATAAAATGAAACAATTATCACTTAAGTTTAATGAGTTGGTATTTTCTGTTAGATAAACTAATAGTATTAAGATTAAATAACTAAAAATATACTTTATAAACATAAAGGACTAATTAAAATGATTAAATGAAACTTGATGTAAATATAAATAACCAAATGCATGTTTTACCCTTTTCTTAATTATGTGTTGCCTTTTATACCCATAATTTTGTTATATTTTGAGAGAAATGGCTTCAGTAGCTCAATTGTATTTTTAGTAGTGCTGTAATAATACAAATTACTAGCTCCGGTCCTTAATATAAGATCTAGATGACTAATCTAGAGAGATTAAAGAAATTAGTTGAGTTAGATATTTGTAATAAATAATAAATGTTATATTTACTAGAATATCTTTACTAATTACGCATATTAGTTAAAACTACCACTTGATGGAACATTTAATATGTGCAACTATTATAATGACTATTTTAGAAAAAATGAATAAATATAAAAGACAAAGTGAATTGAGATCTTATATTTATGACCAAATTAAAAGTCAAATAAGCTCTTATATTAAGGACGGATGTAGTAATTCATATTATCATTAGATTTTAAATGAGATAGATTTTTAAATATGATTTGTCTGTCTATATAGAAAAAATTTTAACTCAATCTTTTAACTCAAGAACTGACACACCAATATTATAAAAGCAACATCCGTCAACACTGTCCGTGATTACATATATATCGAGGGAAAATTGAGCAATAGCCACTCACAATATTATATCTCTTATGTGTTTTTGAATCTTGGAATCTTCAAATCATAACTTTAAATTTCTTCAAAACTGAAGGTTTTAAAAATTATTTGTATTCTACATTATTATGTATGTATTAAAGTAAAGTTAAAAAAATTAAATATTCACAATTCAATATATGGCAATTTAATTTGCGTGAGGACGCCAACACCAAACTTGCCATGCCAAAATCCACAAGGCAGGCGAGTCACACAAAACCATCGCACCCTATTTCTCCAACTCTACACTATAAAACAGAACCTCCTCTGCCACAAACAACCACACAACACAGCACTCACTATTTTATCTTATAATTAGCATTTGTGTTCTAATCCTACCAATGGCATCTCTTACACGTATCGCGGTGGCGGCTGCAGTGGCGGTGGCGGTGTTAATGGTGGCAGCGGTGATAGGAGGAGCAGAGGCGCAGGCGGACAGCAGATGCGCCAATGGAGTGAGCAGGCTGACGGTGTGTGCACCGTTCGTGGTGGCAGGAAACAACTCTGCGCCCAGCTCCGAGTGCTGCTCGGCGCTAGGAGAAGTGGACCGTGACTGCCTTTGTAATACTCTCCGTGTTGCCTATCAGCTGCCTTCTCAGTGTCAGCTTCCTTCTTTCAATTGCCCTTCTTCAGGTACCTTCATTTCTAATAAACTCTCTTCACATCCAACATCACTCAAATTTTCATTTCATTTAGTCAGCAAATATACATATATGTATATTTATATATGTGTCTCTAAATATATACATATGTGTGTATGAGATGTGAGCAGCACTGGCATATATTGTAAGCTTCTTATATTCACAAAGTCGTTTTTCAATCCTGAAATCATAATTTTTAATATATTATTAGATCAATTTATTTTTAAATGTCATTCTTAACATTTTCTGGAATTACTTTTATGATTTTTCTGAAAAAATGCATCCTTATTGTGTTTTACATGAATTATTGTTGTTGTATAATTATATGATCGTATACCAGTAATCTATTATATACTTTTCAATTTTAATGTAAGATATTTTGTAAATATAAGATTTGATTCACTATTTCGAATGAAAATATTCTTTTGAAATATATATAAATTAAAGATAAATTATTTTTTAACATTAAATTTTATACCTGGTCTTGGGTTTGGGAACTGGCTCTGTCACTATTTTATACTTATTTAAGCATTTAGAAATTAGAATGCGTGATTATTTGTCTGTTACTAACTAAAATCACCTTTAAATTTGATTTCATAGAAATCATCAATATATTATTAACACTATGTACTATCCTTAATATAAAAGTTATATAACTAAATTGTGGATATTAAAAAAAATTAGTTAAGTTGATTATTAGTAGCAAATGTGTTTTGATTTAATTTATCTAAATTACTGTATTTAATCATATGCATTAAAACTATCTCGTGATTGAAATATTATATTTACAACAAAAGAAATCTATTGTCTAGCTCCTATATTTAGGATCAAAAGTAATATTATGTAAAAATAAAAAATAATTAAACTGATGGATCAGCTGATCAAATTTAATCCACATTTTGGCCTATTTTATAATTTGTCGGATTTTAAAAATTTTGACCCTCACTGACACATGCACACACACAAATATATATATATATATATATTTGCATAATTATTCAGCTTTTTTTGCCAAATAATTATTCAATTTAATTTTCAATTATAATTTACGTTATATATATTCTTTGTAAAGCATGAAGCAGGTCCCCTTGGGTACGTACGATGAATAATGTTGAGGAGCAGCTCTTCTCTTCAGTTGCCTACGTTGTTTTGATATGTTATATATTCAAGACATCGAACATGGACCCCATAAGATCATAATATAAATTATATATTAAAACATGATGCCACTTCTTTTTTTTTTTTTATGCAACGGTAAAAAAAAGATGCTGTTGTTCTCATGAAATAAAAAATATTTCTCTTTGTTTGGGAACTTGTTTTAGTAGTGTTTTGACTTTTGATTTCTCTCTTCTTCTTTTTTACCTTAAAAAAATTGTCTTCCCGTGACATCTCAACTGAGTAAGAAAAACAAGATCGATAGGAATCATGAAGTAAGGATAGCGGGATTTTTTTTTAACTATATATGTGCAATTTATTAAATATTTTAAATAAATTTAAATGATAAAAAATAATCCAATAAACATTTTAAAATTACTATGATCTATCACATGAATCTCACGACATTATATAGGAAAAAAACATATAATTAAAAAATCATAACATCAATGTATCGTGAACGATATAAGAATGATATTTTTAATGTGATATTTTAAGCAATTAAAATTACATAAGAATTATGAAACATAAATAACAATATGATACTAACTAGGGAAAATGACGTTTCGGGGAAAAATTAACCCAGGGAAAGGAAAATGACGTGTATATGTCTCTCAGGTAAAGATATAATGATAAATTAGTCTCATGAAATGATACAAAAGTATTGAGATCCTTAATTTGTTAAAACAAAATGATAGTCATGTAGCATAGTTATAAATGCTGAAAGAAAAATTTTACATATTCAATAATTGAGTTGTAATCTTGAAATATAAGCAGTATTTTTTTTAAAAAAAATTTATATATGATATGGAATTGAGCCCTAAATTTCACAAAATTATTTGTAAATAGACAATACAAAAAACAAATAGGCAATTGGTGACGAAAATTCCATTCATTAATGAGATTGGCCATGAAAATTAGTAACGAAATAATTTCTGTGTTAATTACTTCATAGAAATTAGTTAAATTTTGAGCAACAAATTTGTGACAGAATATTCCATCTCAAATTTTGTGAATATCACATTGCAACCTTGCTACGAAATTTTGAAGCTAATTAATGATGGATAACGACGGATTTGCAATAGAATTTTCTGTTGCTAAATAAGAAAATTTTCGTTACGAATCTGTTGGTAATCTTTGTAATTTTTAATTTCTTTTATATATAGCGAGCCTTTTTTATGAATTACTACAGAAAAATAAATTTTTTGAATACCAAAAAATTTAAACTTTTAACGAAAAGCAAGATGCAACTAAAACAGTCTTAACACAGTACAATAAAACTTTAGAAGTTTAACGGATATAATAACTATGTAGAAAATAAATTTAAGAAGTTTTAGCTAAAAATAATGTAATAAAAAAAGACACGACTAATAACTCTCAACTCTTATTTCTTGAATTTTCATTGTCGGGAACAGAGATAATTTATTCTCAATTTCTTTCAACCTAGATAAGGTATTGATGCTTTCTTGTTTAAAATCTTGATTCTCTTGTCGAATCTATTGATTTTCTCGACTGAGTTGCGTCTATCACCGTGGTTTTATATTGACTTAATTAGTTGGTTATAGTAAGATCATTAATCATAATCAGTCCAACGCATCATTCCTTCCTACTAGTAAGTTAATATCTCTCAATCCTAAACATAGAAGCTAAATAATTAATTTACAAATATTAAGAAATTAGTTAAATTACTTATGTATGTGAAATAAAATTTATGTTGATTTCTCTAAAAATGCTCATTTTAATCATTTGTAGGAAGTACTCTCTTGATAAAAACAATCCTTAATATATATTTGCAATCAATTGAAAAGAGTTTTAAAAGAATTATAGAGAACAAAATAAACTAGTATCTTATATTTAAAATCAAAGTGAATCTCTCTATCAACTCTTGCATTTAAAATTAAAAGAAGTATTGTATTTGAGCTCATACGTATTGGAGCCCACCATCTCACCTCCCCAATTCAAGACACTAAATTTCATCATTTTATTGTCACGTGTGACTAAATAATTTTTTTTTTAGAGATGTGCATGTGTCAGTTGACTTGCCTAGTATACTTATGTCACGTATGTTTCCTTTAATTGGAGACAATTATGTTTGAAGCACTCTTAGATGTTAAATATAAGCACTTCTCTTAATAAAAATTCAAATATTAATACATCATGTTTGGCCTAACTTATTGTTACTTGGTAGTTAATTTTTAGGTCATACTTGCTTTATGAATTTTAACCTCCCCAGTAAAATACATGAAATTTGGAAAATTAGAGGCTTACCCTTCTCTCATATATATTAACTTCATGATAAGTAACTTCATGAGAACCATAGGTGCGTGAGTTCTTTTCATTAGGTGAAAGATGATAAAAAAATATTCACTTAGCTAGAGCCAATTGGCTTAATTCGAGGTAAGTTTGCAGCTTTGGTTTTATAGATGACTATTACAGTAGCAATTTTAATAGGAAAATAAAAAATTGTTAGCTAAAAATACTTATGTTGATTGATTCATTATGTGTGCCCTATGAAAATTTTGAAGTCCAAATTTGTACCAATACGCTAACTATGCGCAATTTATTACTAGAAAATGTGTTAATACAATATTTACAACCTCATTTTAGTTTTAATCTTTATAGTCTTGAATCATAGGTTTTGGTTTTTAAGAGACAAAACGGGTTTTGGTTCTTATTAAAATACAGGGATCAACATTTTAAACAGAAAAAAAAAAATTGAAGACCTAAACCTATAGTTTAAAATTATTTGGATCAAAACTAAATGAAGCAAAATTATAAGGACCAAATATTGTATTAACTTAAAGAAAATTGAATTTAATTTTTATTTTAAATTAAAAGGGCATGGATTGAGTTTCAACTCTTATTTATAAAGAATTTTTAAGAGAGAATTATTATAAAGTCTTAAAAAAAATATAATTATTAAAAAGTTCTAACAAACAAACAGAGTAATTTGAAATGATGAGTTTCAGACTTTTAGTATATGAAATAACAATACCTCACTTGTTTAAAAATTTTTGTAGTTAATTTTCACTGCCTTTTAGGTTTCTTTTTGACCCGAATGTCTTTAGTTTACAGAGGATTGAAACATTAATATTATGATTCTTAAATTTGAAAATTCTTAAATAGTTACTTAAATAAGGAATTCTTTTCTAATTACTTATGACCAAATAGGGATTTTCAAGTTTACTAAAATGATCAAATTACCCCAAGTAACATGGTTAAGAAGTTTATGAACGTTATTAACAAATTTAATATTGCTATTAACAAAAAAAATTTTCAAGAAAATTAAAAAAGTGTCGCTTTTATACAATTTTAATGATGTTGTTAATAAGTGTACAATGATATTAACAATTTGTGTAATATTATTAACAACATAACCTAAGAGTTTGTGACATTCCAAGAGAGTGGTCATGAAATTATAAGTGGGAAATTTTATAACTTTGGTAACATGATTAACTAATTCATTAACATTATTAATAAGTTTGGTATTACCATTAACAATGGGTTTTTCTAAAACTTAAAAAAAAAAAGCCACTTTTACAATTCTAATAATAACGTTAATAAATAGTGTAATGATATTACAACTTTTACAACGCTATTAACCATGTGATTTAAAAGCTTGTGACACTCTAAGAGATTGGCCATGAAATCATAAATAGGAAATTTTACAATTCCAATAATACGATTAACAAGTTTATTATCGTTATTAACAAAACTAGTACGGGTTTTTAAAAAAATTAAAAAAGAGCAATATAATCATGGAAAAACTCTCAAAAAAATAAACGTTGAATTTTAAAATTCTAAATTAGTATTAATTACTACACTCATAAAAAAAACTACACTTAAAAAATAAATATTTGTAATATCCTGATTTGGAATTTTAATTAAAATTTTACGTCATTTGCTCAATTTCCCCAATGTTATTTAGGATCGAAAATCGAAAATCGAAAATCGAAAATGGCTGCAATTGGACCATTGAATCACCTGCCCTCCGAAGTCCGAACCACGCTGTGACCGGCGAGCCAATTACTATCTTTTCTCTTACACCTCTGACTTCAAGCTGAGGCAACTCTTTCCCATAACCATCACACTCTCCGTATTTCTGTTCTCATAATTTATCTATACCACTGCACCCTCCATGGATTTTTAGCGATTACTCTCACCTTAAACCCTAATTTCGGATATCAACGGCTCAGTTCTCAGGTATTCTGTCTCTCTGTGCTTTTAATTCATCGTTGCTGAGTTTGAATCGATTATGATTGGAATTGAAACACTAGCCTGTAATAACAGCATTTCCTTGTATTTACGGATTATTTGTTTATTTGGTTCAATTTGGGCAACTTTCTTTTGTTACTGAAGTTTTATATAGAAAGCATGTCCGTTTTGGGAGTGAAAGATATTCTTGTGGCATGGATTGTTTGGTTTCTATCAAGGGGAGAGAATGATTTTTGATCATATGCTTATTAGTTTTTAGTTCCTATTATAATCTTACTTATTTCTTTCGCTTTAGTGTAGGTTTTTAATGGATGGGGATGATAACGACTTGGGGAGTGCACATGAAGAAAATGTTGAAGTCAGATCTGAGATATCAAATAACTTGGACTTGAATGTGGAGCAAAACTGTTGCAGCCCCAAGGTTATACATGATAATGGTGCTCAATCTGGTCATGCTTCTGTGGACGAACCCAGTACCAGTAATGTATTGGGAACTGGGACAGAATTTGAATCTGATGAGCATGCATACGGATTCTATAACAAATATGCCAGGTTGCTGGGTTTCAGTGTTAGAAAAGATTGGGTAAATAGGAGTAAAGTACATGGTCAGGTGGTGTCTAGAAAGTTTACTTGCTCCAAAGAGGGATACCGCAGGAAAGACAAAAGAGATGTTAATGTGAAAAAACACAGGAAAGAAACAAGAACTGGTTGCTTGGCTCATATGATCATCACTCGCCAACCAGATGGTAAGTACCGAGTTACCAATTTTGAGGCACAGCACAATCATGATAATATAAATCCTAGTAAAGCTCACATGTTAATGCTGCAAAATGAACTAAGTGTTGCCCAAGGGGTAGAAGCTGACCCTAAAAATACGATAGGACCACCCAAGTCAAAGTCAGCATTGGAAATTATGGATAGAAAATTTGCAGTTCGCGTGTCCCTTGATCAAGTTTGTATGGATTTTGACAATCACCTTCAGTCAGAGAGGGATAGAGATATGAATGAAGGAGAAGCAGGACGTTTATTGGGTTACTTTCAGAGACAACACTTTGAAAATCCTACATTTTTTTATTTCTTACAGTTAGATGTTGATGACAAGGTAAGCAATATATTTTGGGCTGATGACAATATGGTGCTGGATTATGATTATTTTGGTGATGTAATTTGTTTGGACACAACTTGCAGAACAGACAGAGAACTTCGACCATTTGTACAATTTATAGGTGTTAATCATCACAAACAAGTGGTGATCTTTGCAGCTGCACTTCTATATGATGATACCACGGAATCATTTAATTGGTTATTGCGTACTTTTATTAATGCCATGTCTGGGAAAAAGCCGAAGTCTATTCTCACAGAACAAGAAGCTGTAATTATTGAAGCTGTCAATACAATTCTGCCTGAAACAAACCATTTTACTTGTGTATGGCAGCTGTATGAAAATACTTTAAGACACCTCAGTCATGTAGTTAAGGATGCTAATTCTTTTGCCAGCGATCTCCGATGCTGTATTTATGACCACAAATACGAGGAGGATTTTTCTCATGCTTGGGAGGCTATGTTGGAGAAGTATGATCTGCAGCAAAATGAATGGTTGAGATGGATGTACAGAGAAAGAGAGAAATGGGCAGTTGTCTTTGGTCGAAATACATTTTTTTTGGATGCAAAAGGCTCTCATTTAGGTGAGATTTTGTCTCGTAAATTTAGAAGTTATTTAAATTCTGACCTTGATGTCATTCAATTCCTGAAGCATTTTGAAAGGGTAGTGGATGAACTACGTTATGAAGAAATTGAAGCTAATGATGAGATGAGGAGACGTTTGCCAAGACTAATGGGTAATGTTGTTTTGTTAAAGCATGGAAGTGATGCATATACTCCAAGGGCATTTGAAGTATTTCAGCAAGGATATGAGAAATCTTTAAATGTTGTTGTTAACCAATTCAGTAGGAATGGATCACTGTTTGAGTATAAAGCAAATACGTTTGAACATATTAGACAATATAATGTCACATTCAATTCTTTAGATGATACAGTTTTGTGCAGTTGTATGCAGTTTGAGCGTGTTGGATTTTTGTGTAGCCATGCACTAAAAGTGCTTGACCATATGAACATAAAAGTGGTTCCATCTCAGTACATCTTAAAGAGATGGACAAAAGAGGCAAGGTTGGGAACTGTCAAGGACGTTGGGCAATTTAACATGCAAGATAATCCTAAGATGATTGTAGCAAGCCGTTACAAAGATTTGTGCCACAGGCTGCTCAAGTTTTCAGCAAGGGCCTCCGAATCTGTGGAAGGTTATCAATTTGCTCGGATGAAACTTGATGAGATAATGGAAGGAGTCGAGAGAATCTTGGCATTGAAAGGTGCAGAAACTCAGATTATCACCTCCAGCAGCGCTGATGCAATTGCTCCTGAGAATGAGCCTGCAGACATCTTTCTCAATGGACAGGCAATGGAAGATCAAAATGAAAGTAACAGAATGGAAGAAGAAAAAGAAGGGAGCTCTACACCTGTTAGAGGCCATCAAACTACTATGCACTGTAATGGATTAGACACTCAAAGGGTTCTAGATGTAGAAGTTTCTCCGCCAGATACTGTTGCCTGCATTTCAAGTCCCTCTTCTGCCTATGTTTCATCTCAATGTACAACATCAAATCCCATCATGCAGGTCATTCTTCATAATATATTACAAATACAGACTGCAATGTGACTTTGTGAATATTGTGACCATTTTGCTACTCTCTAGGATTCATTTATTTTAATGCACCACGCTTCTGAAACAACAAAGTTATATATTGATTCTTTAACTTCTGATACAGGGACTGTATAATTTTGAAGCCAACCATGTAGTTCATTGCATGTATGAACAGTCCAATCTTGCGCTGGACTCCCAATCTAATGATAACATGTACCATCCACAAAACTTCTTTTCTACCCAACAGGATTCTCCCGGCCAACCTCAACTGCTGCAGGTGTTTATTTGTCTGGTCCGAACCTATTCTGAATATATGCCGAATTTGCTGTTGTGTATGACCTGTAAATAAATTATCGTTCAGGAGCCTGTAATTCAAAGCATGTACCAGCATTCCATCCGCAACACTAATCAGATGAGACAGGTAGCCACATAATATAGTATTTAGTCCCGGAAACATGTGCATGCACTCGCACACACTGATCGTGGAATTCATGTTGCTTGCTTATTGACCTGTTGTATTCATTGTAGGTAATTGATATCCAAAATCCACATTCATCTTCATTCCTGCTCTATGATCGTAAATACAGAACTTCAGACGCTGCATAAATAAGAGGGAAGGAAAATGATTGAGTGAGTTCCCTCTGCTGTACATAGTCCGAATTGATCAACCACAAAGGTTTTGTACTGAACGATTCGTCTTATTTTGGTAGTAAGATAACTTAAAGTTTAATGACATTATAGCTTGTGTGCACATTTATGTAATTGAATGAAAAATAGAAAATTCTTGCAATGACAGCTGACATATCTCAAGTATACTGTTCCTCTCTCTCCTGTATTCCCTTGTCCTGAATCTCTACATGCTCAAATTCTATTATTCTCCTTTGTTATCGTTGTTAATGCTACTAAAATTGGTTCTTTACCCTCCTGATCGAAACTTTAGAAACTTCTTCTAGTTACCTTATAATGTGCAGATATTTTAGTGCAAATTATAGCAGCCTCGTTCTTGCAATTGTGATGACTTGCTGCTTCGTAAGTTATCTTTGGTTACATGTTTGCATTCTGAAAGTGCATTCATTTCCTTGTTATTAACATAATATGCAAGCTGATCAAGGTGCACGAAAATATGGTTAGGCAAATTATAACCTTTGTCTGCACAGATAATATGAGATCCATTGTGCAAATCCTTTAGGGAAGTTCTGACAATTCAATCAGCTTCTAAGTTTATTTGAATCCAATTAAATTGGCAATTCCTAAGATTATTCCTCCTGTAAGGGATATTTTCAAACCACGCAACCTCAAGATGCGGCGCCAAATTGTACATATTTCTTCTCCTCAACAGCTCTCGTGCAGATTTTCAAAAGAAGGGAGTGCATTGCACTTTAATTCTCCAAATTGCATTCCACATTCCTTTTGGGATTGTTCAAGAAGAGCTGTGTCTATTTCTATCTTCTTCATTACCCTTCTCCTTGGCCACTGCATAACCCTCTGTGACACAACAAGTCCTTTGATCTTTTTACCCAACCCACTTCCAGTTGCAAGCATTCGTAGTTCCTCAATTGATTAAGTTCAGCCTCTCATTGATTAGGTTCAATTATGTTCAATAAACCTCTTAAGCTAGTGTGAGTAGGACTTAGATACCCCTAAAACCCTACCTAGTACCCAATCCTTAATCTCTACTCTTAAGACCACCTAGGGCTTGTTTAGGATCCTATTCATGAACACTTATAAGCATGTTTCACATGAGCCGAAAAGATATTCTTCTCACATACTAACCTCGTATTCCGTAAATTACAATTAAAAAGTTACTTATAAACTATGCCAAACAGGCTCCTAATATGCATTTGTTTTGTCTTCAATGATCCTAGTCTTTAACTTGGGGTTTGGACAATCGGTTACACTCCTAATTAAACACAATTTCAACTATGTTAACAAGGTAATACTGTGTTTTACATGCTAACGTAGAGAAATCAACAATTACGTTGGGGAATCAATTCTTCCAATACATGAAGAAAATTTATCAAGCATCGGATGCAGGTTTAGTACAAGGCATTCAGCCAAGCACCTTCCAATCATCCATACAATATTACATTCTTAAACCTAGAAATAAAAATTGCAAGAACTAAATTAAAACTTGAACTTAGACAAGATGAACTTCCCCTTGAAGCATAGTAGACAACCTCTTCATCCAACAAATGTGCAACCACAAATGTGATGTGAAGATGGAAAAGAGAAAATGAATTAGCAAAATAAAATTAAGCTGGAAGGATGAATGTAGATGGAAGCAAGACTGAGTTCATCCCATCTAAGAACTAAACTAATACTCATCCGGTCCTTAATATAAGACCTATTTAACTAATTTGATTAGATTAAGGAAGTTAGGTAAATTAGTTAATTATAAGAAATGTGACACATTTTTTCTAAAATACCATAATCATCTTTCTTAATACCTCCTCTCCCTCTTTTACTTGATTCTGGTTGAGGGAGTATCTATAGGGGTAATTTAGAGAAAATTGATAAATATGAGAAATGGGTCTTATATTTAGGACCAAAATTAATTCAACAATTGGGTCCTATATTAAGGACCGGAGGAGTACTACTTTTAGATTAAGAGAAAACTAGGAGAAGGAGAAAATGGGGGGAGAAAATTGAGGGGTCCTTGTGTTTGGATGGAGGGGAGAAAATAGGGAGGTAAGAAAATGCATGACATTTAATAAGATAATAATAAGCTTATTTAATTTTTAACACATTTTTTCAAGTAATGCCATGCAAGATAAATTCAAATAAAAAATTAGCACCATTAAATTAAATATTAAATCAAATTTAAATGAAATTATTTTCTATAATTTATTTTAATATCAATATATTAAGTAAAATATATTTTCTCACAAATTAAAATAATAAAAAGAAATTTAAAATAAAAATTAACATGTCAAAATAACAATAATATTCTTTGATTTATTAAAATTAAAATAAAAGCTTCTTTAAAAAACTCAAACTCTTTTTATTTCATTTATAACTTGATTATAATATAATTATTATAAATACAATTTACATGAGATTTTTATTACTATAAGAAAATAAAACTATTGAAATGTCCCCAAAATCTTAATTTGAAATAAGAATTATTTTTTCACTAAAGCATAGGTATCTTCTTATTGTTGCTAATTTTATTCAAAATACTATTAAATACTAAATGGGGACATCTCTTCCAGTAAAATTTTGAACTTTAAATCACCTTGTTATTACATTTGTATTTTGGTTTCTTTGTTTGGTGTTGGTCTAATTGTATTGGGCCCTCTTCCTCTTGCTTTATCTTGAGCAAGAGGGCCTTTTTTACTCTTTCTTTTTTTTAAATTTTTTCTTTAATTTTGAAAAAAAATTTATTGAAATTGAAAAAAAAAAATAAAGATCATCCAGATAAGTAAAATAATTAGAAGAACATGAGATATGAATCTAGAATACTCAAATTTTGGTAGAAAGACCAAAATAACCCTTAAATATTTTCAAAAAAGAAAGTGTTTAGTGTTCTAGTTCTCCCAAGTTTCTCACTCACCCAAACTCTTCGTTCTCCAAAGTCACTAAAGTCACCATCTCGTTGAAACTACAAAGCTACTGTTCTCCCAACTTTCCCAACTCACCCAAACTGTGAAGCCCTTGTTCTTCCAAGTTGTCAACCCACCCAAACTACAAAGCCATCATTCTTTGTAGTCATTCACTTGCATTGTCAATGAGGATGGTCTTAGCGAGGAATGTGCATAACATTTGTGAGAAGCTTAAATCATTGAGCCATCATCATGAAGAAGGGTAACTTTTTTTGTTCCCATTTTTTTTTTAAATGTTGTTCATACTCTGTATGCACTGATGTGTCTCTTTAAAGTTCATTACTTTCAGCTTTTTATTGTTTTTAATATAATAAAATAAGGAACCAATCTTCTAGCTCTATGGGATTTTGCCGTGACTTCTTGTCTCTATGATAGGGTTCATTTAGTTGAAAATTTTGGAAGTATATTGGTTAAATTTCTGCTTTTTTCTAATGAAGTTTGTTCTTAAAGTCTATTATCTTGTTAGCCTGTATTTTTTTCTCTCTATTTTGTTAATTCAAGAATAAGTAATAAATTTCATTAGCTAAGCAGTAAATTTCATTATTCGAGTAGTAAATAGTCCTAGTTGACTTGTGGTGAAATGACAACATTTGGAATGTAAATGACTATATTTGTATTGCTATTTTTCTGTGAAGCTAAGGAAGTTGACTTGTTATTGGAATTGAATTCGTTTGGTAATGGAAATGACCAGATTTGTTATGGTAATGACTGCATTGTTGTAAAGCAAATTAAGTTGAGTTACACTTCTTAATAGAATTGACTACATTTCCTTTGATAATAACTAGATTGTTTTAAAAGAAATATAGCATAATAAATGACTATGAAGTAGTGTTTTCACGAGAAGAAAAAATAGTATTAGAAGGAAAGTCAAGCAAAAAAGCAAAGAATGGGTAATGTAGTTTCAAAAAGAATTTCTTGGGTGGAAGAAGAAGTTTAAGAATAGCACTTATATAAACAAATGCATTGTTCAACTATTGTTATAATATTTGACTTACGATTGTAGATAGAATTTGTTTACAAAAACATATTTAATCACTATTATTGTATAGTTATTGATAACATGCGCTAATTATGTTTACATTTGGGTGTCATTAAAACAAAAGCAGCTTTTGACAACATTTATAAAGTGATTGATAACTTTTAAAATGAAAATAATAATTTCCATAATGCATTTTGCAACCTTTTTATTTGCTACCATTTCTAATTTATTTGCACACAAATTTGCTAAACTTATAATGAGAATAACAACTTGCAAAATGAAAGTGACTATTTGTGTAAAGAGTTTTGTAAACTATTTTAAGGTATTTGCAAACAATTTTAGAAAACAAGCAACAAGAATGACAATTTACATAATAAAAGTTACTATTTTTATTAGGGGATTTGCAACTTATTTACTTGTGACTATTTTTAATCTTTTTGTACACAATTTTACTAAATATGTAATGGGAATAACAACTGGTGGAATAAAAATGATCATTTGAGTAACAAGTTTTGCAACATGTTATAAGCTACTTGCAGACAATTTTACAAAATAAGTAATAGGAATGAATTCTTACATGATAAAATTTACCATTTGCATCAAAGGATTTGCAACCTATTTATTTGCAACAATTTTTATCTTTTTGCACATAATTTTATTAAACACGTAACGGAATGATAATTTGCGAAATGAAAGTAACTATTTGTATAACGAGTTTTGCAACATATTTTAGTCAACATGTTGGTATGTGCAAAACCTTCACTTCAGAGGTGTTTTATTCATTTCACCAAACCTTGTAAATCCTAGATTTATGTTTCATGCCCATCTAGTCATTTTACTTATTTGAATGATCTTTTCGCCTTTTTCAATTTCAATGAGCATTTTTTGTCATTTCGCTTTAATTTTCTTTCTATATAAATACAATTTAGAAATAAAATAAAATATTATAAAGTGAATGGCATGTGCGTCGGTGCGTCCTAAGTTCTTTCTCTTCTTATGCTCTCATTTATTGAATTGATCTTTAGCCTCCTAAAAATATTTTAAGATGGCACCCCTTCAACACTTTAGGTGATCAATTGACTTTTAAGTTGTAATCCAAATTTCTTATATTAATATTTGTCTGCAATAGTACTTCTACATAAAGGCAGTTAAGGTTTAAAAAAAATTACATTAAATAGAGAAAATAAAAAAGAACATGTGATACATAAATTGTGGCATCTCTTTGGCTTGGGTGTTTTTTTTCTT